AATCACCTAAGCGATTTTCAAAATAGCGGCCGAAGCCGTTTTGTCAATTGAAAGACGAAGAAATGTGCATTTTAAAATTTTTTTTCAAATAATCACCTATGAAATTATCCTGAAACAATTATTCACCTCAGGCTCGGTGATTATCGTGAATAAAAACATCGACTTCGTCTCGGTTTTTATTCACCGATAATCACCTCGCCTTCGGCGAATAATTGTTAATTATTTTTGGTGCCCCCCCCCCTACTTTTCTTTGATATTTTTGGTAGCCCCCCCTAACTGGTTGATAAATTTTTGGTGCCCCCCCCCAAATATCTTCCGGCCCCCCCTGGCATTAATAATGACTGCTCCCTTATGGAGCAATGTTTACCTCCAAAGTCTAAATGGTTATATCCAAACCAAAATATACATTTGAGTAACTTGTGTAATTCAACACTAACTGAGTTGAAATGTGAATAAATGAATTGTGGAGTTACTAGCGGCTAACTCCAAAAATCACTTGGAGGTAGGTAAAACTCCAAAAATAATTTAGAAGCTACTGTAGGTATCTACTGTAAGCCTGGAATTACTGGCTAACTCCAAAAATCACTTGGAGCCAGGTATAACTCCAAACAATTTTAGAAGCTACTAGAGGTGTGCATCGGATCGGACGTTTATAATCCGACAATTGCCTAATGTTTAAAATCCGATCCGAAATTGTCTAATCCGAATCCGATCCGAGTTTTGAAAAAGAATTCCAATCCGATCTGATCCGAAGAATTCTATATGAACATGCTAATTTTTTAACTGGTTGATTATAAAAGACCCTAGGCCTGGAATCAAATTTCTAAAGAATGAATCACTGATCAGAAAACCAATTTGGTCAGTACTTCCCAACTTTCCTCGCTGCTTCCCCCTTGGATTAAAAAAATGAGGACAGTGGTTCATGCGGGGTGTCAAATAGCGAGCAGCCAGGTCCCGGTAAACGCCTTCCCATGGACCTTCTGTTTTACACAGCGTGTGGCATATAAAGACGTTGTGTTGTTCAGAGTCTGTTCTCTTCCATGACATGATAAGACAACACAGAATATCAGGATTACAGTAATTTGACCTGCAGTTGTAGATCAAAGTGTGTCAGCATCAAACATAACAAGCTTCCTCATCTTTCACATTATTTATGATTCTGTGGTGGCATTGAGAAGCTTGTTCAGCAGGTTTGCCACTGTTGGACGGAGCATGTGTGACAGCATAGCCGATAAATCTATCTTGTCTAAAAATTTAAAATTCGCTCATGTAAGCCAAAGTAATGGGAGACTTTGAAGGATACCTCTGGTTATGAAGCCTCTGATCTTGTCTTGAGTCTTGTAGAGTCTGCAACTAGTCAGTCACGTGTCAATAAAATGTTACAGCTATACAGTCTCTGTTTAAAATGTCTTGGTTAAACTAAAAATAACACCATCTGTGGCTGATTTTCTTGGTGATTATATTTTATGTTCTTGCATCTTCATTCCAAATGTAAAGTTGCTAATGCTGAAGATATTAATGAATTATTATGTTTCTTTTATCACAGTACCAATCATGTTAGATGAAGCTTTTGAATATCTAGAAGAAAGAAAAGTAAGAAAACCTGATCAGCAATATGTTTTATTTCAATAAATATAGGGATACGACTACCCCAATAATATAAGCAGAACTTCGGTGTGGCGTATTGTTCAGGTACAGTTGTATCCCTATTAATCCGCAGTTTTCTTATTATCGTCCCTGCGTATACCTACACGGGCAGAGACCGTTTGAGATTAACGGCTTATTGACCTCGCTTGTTCGGTCTGTGCTGTGAAATATCAGACCGAGGTTTTTTAGTATGGACCGAGCGACAAAGGAGCGAGGTCCATGCAAAAAACTGATTCTGTGAGCATATGCTTTTCGCGCGAATTAAATCGGCTATCGTCCGTTTCACTGGGTAACAATATACGGTAGGCATGCATGCTCAATCAAAAACAATTTGGTTGTTTGACATTTTTATCTGTAAATTTTAATGACACGCAATTGGAAAATTAAAAAGCAAAAATTTTTTCTGTTTGCAAAGCAAAAGTTTCCCGCCAGATAAACGACATCCGGGACACCGGGCCAGATACAGAAAATACGGTCCACGGTCCGGATATGGGTTTTTACGGACCGCCCGCCAACCAATCAGAATAGAGAATTTTGAAAAGCCATATAATAATATTTCTTAAATCAATAAATGTTAAAAATGTTGTGATTGCCATTGAATGGCAGTGAAATGTATAATACACAAGAACGGTCTGTGCCAACGTGCGTAGTGACAATAACAACAGAAAGCTGGGGATTGCGAGGGATACTAACTTCCCGATGAAGGGCCTTCGTCGAGTAGTCCCTCGCAATCCACAGCTTTGTGGTATAATATACAAGTATGCATGATATTGTAAATTGCAATCACTATAGAAAGGGCAAGCGAACCACATGCTGCATAAACACACACGTTTTTCTAACGGTTCGAGACGTTTTCTAACATGGAAAGATTTGTTATTATAGAACATACTTTTTCTGCGTTGAGTCCATAAAGACTGAGGTACAACTACAAAAGTTTGTATTTTCTGTTTAGAAACGTGAACCATCATTTACGTATGAGATCATTGTTGTTGATGATGGAAGTAAGGATAGTACCACAAAGGTATGTGCACATGTTTTGCGTGTATTTCTTGAGGCCACCACGTCCACTGACCAGGTCTGTCAAGGGTCCACGGCCCAGCTTGCTTAACGGATAGTTTATATAACTTCATTGAAGAGTTTCCATGCAAAGAATAATTATGTGTGACAACATAAATTAATGTCATTTAGCCTTGTGCCGAAAGTATTCTCTTACTGTGTTATACATTTAGCGTATAATGGACAGTCAAATAATTATGTACTGGCAAGTATTGGCGTATTGGGACGCATTGCGATATAGTGGGTTCATAGATCGGCCATTATATGATAAAAGTTATTTCCAAAATAAAGACGAAGTATAGGATACTGCAGCATAGTTCTAGGTATGTTTTTCAAGCTAGATAGCTCACGAAACTGCAGAGATAATATGAGAACCATTTCTGCCACAGGTTGCTCTGAAATATGTGGAGAAACATGGAGTGGAGTTGATCCGAGTATTGACTCTGACTAAGAACAGAGGCAAAGGGGGAGCTGTTCGTATGGTAAGAGTTTCATCTTTAATAAATATTTTACCACCACTGTAGCCTTGCACCTTCCCGCGTGACTGCATTGGATCGGTTTTGAACCTCAAGCGAACCGCGGGAGTACCGAGGGAGTGAAATTTGTCAACTTGGTGTTAGTCCTAAATTCATAAAGTAACCTTACCCGTACTGGCAGTACATGTATCATCGATGTAAATATGTAGAACCTAGAGCCGCTCGAAGAGCAAAAATGGTTCCAATAAGGGCGGATTTGCGAATTGTGCTAATGTTTCACTTTGATGATTATCGTGTTCGTAGTGACGTAGTGGTTGTATAGTAAAACTTTATTTAAACATGCTGATCACGTCAACATAACTGCTTTCCACAAGAGACGTGCAAAAAGAACAAAAAGCTAGCACTAGAAGTAAGCTGTTTACAGGGATTTAGAAAAGAACTAACTAAAGCTACATTGCCTATTGGTCGATTTACAACATACGTTATTTTATTCTTACATCAATTAAGGTGTGAGTAGCAATTCCATTTTTAAAACAAGACGGAGAAATTTGCTTTCCCTTATTCCATACGATGCCCCATCGGACATGAAACTCTTTTTCATATTATTTTTATTTCTGTTTCATATTATTTTTATTTCTGTTTCATACTTTTTATGCGTTTTATGTCAGGATAAATATCGTATTTTCTAGGGTATGTTTAGTTCACGTGGTAAACAACTTCTCATGGTCGATGCTGATGGAGCAACAAGATTTTCAGATCTAACAAAAGTACAGAATGGTCTTCATAAAATTATCAATGGAAAGGTTTGTCTAATATTACTCATAAAATACAGGCGCTCGGGATGTTGGGCATCTCACTTGATACAACTAACTGTTGTAGGGTTTTGTAGATGAAAATTTCGAGTGAATGTTTATACATTTATTACACCTTAAGGCTGTTTTCCACTAGACAAATTTTCCGCGTGGAGCGGAATTTCTCTTTATCTTTTCTAATTAGATCAACCTGAGAAATCACAGGACAAAGAAAAATTCCGCACCGCGCGGAAAATTTCGCCTAGTGGAAAACGGCCTTACCCAGGAGCAGTTGCAAGAAATGCAACTACAGTATATACATGTAGGCAGCCTGATAAGAGTCGAACCTACAGAATCGCAGGGCAGACAACTGGCCTCTGTAGCTCAGTTGGTGTAGCCTCGGGTGTAGCTCAGTTGGTGTAGCTCAGTTGGTGTAGCTCAGTTGGTGTAGCTCAGTTGGTGTAGCTCAGTTGGTGTAGCTCAGTTGGTGTAGCTCAGTTAGTTAGAGAACTGCACATGAATCGCAGGGCAGACAACTGGTCTTTGTAGCTCAGTTAGTTAGAGAACTACACAGGAATCGCAGGGCAGCAGGTTCGATCCCTGCCAGAGGGCCTATATATAGTTGCATTTTTTTGCGACCGAATGACGTCTTATTTATCTCACTGGCAAATACTAACTGGGAAATTGTCATTGAGACAGACATGCTAAGCAAGTTACCGATGAAACCAAACT